TTTTTTTCATCTTCCAATGATTCCACGCTATATATTATTTGTCAAAATTTTCTGTTAAAATTTTTTTTACTTGTTGCATGATTGTTTATATATGTACATTCCAGGTCTGTATATATACACATAGAGCACCAAGAAAAAACCTGAGAACTCTCATAATGTACTGCAATTATGGCGTTTCACTACCCAGAAGCGATCCCGTCCAACTCTCCTTCCTCACATCAACCCGACCTGACCCACTTCCCAAAACTATCTCTTTTCTCACCTCTATAGCCTTCCGGGTCGGACACGGTCGAGCCATTAAACACGTTAAATCCACCAGTAACGATACACATTCTTTCATCATGGATCAATTCATTTATACAGATTAATTGTCCCGCAAAAAGAAAAACTTTGCTTTAACAATAGTTAAAACACAGATGAATTGCCCTACGAAAAGAAAAAAACATGTTTTTTGTCTTTCATTATGGATTAATGTCACCATTTTAATATTGTTTCATTCCTTTCTTTTTCGATTTTTAATCTTCTTTTGGTGATCCGCTTGCTACAAACTTGCAATTAGAATTCATATTTTACTATTTTAGTTGAATTGATGATGTTTCCACAAAATAAAAAATAAAAAAAATCAGGTACCGTACCCCACCTCCCACCTAGGAGGACCCACCTAGTGGTGGCGAGAAAATCATGAAAATTCGTAGCCCTTGTTTAACAACCATTATTTGGGAAAAATCATGACTTGAATAGTAATTTTTAAAAGAATGTGTGATTAAAAAGTAGAGAAAATATTTTAATAAAAATCTGATTTTTAAAATTCCAAACTTTCTTTCTTAATTTTGAAATAGGGGATACATAACCTTTTACTTATGAATTTTTCCCATGAATTTTTTTTTTTTTTTTTTTTTAATTGAGGCCCAAGACAATGGCCTAGTTTGCCTTGGCCATGGCCGGGCCTGGGAGCTTAAAAAATAACTTTTGACACTATTCTACTTAAATCTCAATCATATTCGTAATTGAGAAGTGAGTCGTCTTTTAAAGATTTACATATTCTACTTCAAAAACTTTTCCCAGAAAAAAAAAATGTTTATTTGAAATTCATTTATGGATTAATTAATTTTATTTCACCATTTTAATATCATTCCATTCCTTTCTTTTAGATTTGTACTCTTCTCATACTTTGAATACTTTGCTTTTATAATAGTAAAAGTACATATGAATTGCCCGTAATATTCATTTAAGAATTAATTAATTCTTTGCCAACAATATTTTTCCATGGGATATGATGAGTTGTTCTGCGTGTACAGCAGAACCCCACCGGCACCTGCAACACTCATAGCGTGGGATCCACCCCAATAAAAAAATAAAAAAAGTTACCCATCCCTCCATGTGAATTGTCGGTGAACCCCCACCCTATACATGCAAAATGACTTGAGAGATGATACATTGCCAAGTCCTAATGCCAGGGGGAAGTTGGCCTCCTATGATGGGGGTATGGCCCTGGTGAAGGAGAATAACTCATTCCATTCCTTCTTCTTCGATTTTTAATCTTCTTTTGGTGATCCACTTAGGAATTTTTTTTAAAAAATTCAAATGTTATTTTACTTTGTCAAATAATTCTATTGACCATTATGACCCTGTGTTTGGTATAGATTAAAATATAATTTTTTTTATTCTTAAATCAAAGTTAGTAATTAATTTTAATTTCAAGTTCCATGAGAGTTATCAATTTTCAATTACACATTTCATTAATTTTTATCAAAATCTATCAAATGTTGACTAAACTTTAAAAGTTTTTCGAATAGCCATATAATTATTAGTTGACCAAAATGGGCTCGGTAAACCAAAATGTTGATATAGCATATTATAATTA